CCAGCCTCAATAAACGGCTCGTTTTCTGTTATTCAAGTCATGTTTCACATTTTGTTTCCGTCTGCATTTGGGTCCACCCTTCACTCTACACACAGTCAGCCCTGCTGATTGTGACACAGAACAACATAGACCTGAACTGAACAGATGAACCATCTGCTCATTGTCTCTGATGCCTAATACCACTGGACCAATATCCAATCTATCTCTACTTTTTACTAAGCCAGAAAAAGTTTGACATTACAACTTCAGAAAAGCAGTTTAAGAGCCCAGAGGTCACAATGATTGGTGATTAATGTCATTTATCAAATAACTGAAATAATATTTTCTAATAATAATAATATATTGTTAAGTATTAGAATGCTCTGAGAGCAGATGCAGGTTCTGCGACCATGTCTTCCTCATCGTCCTTTGAGGAAAAAGCCCTTAAGTTTGGAGATAGTTTTACATTTTTCCGTCTCCCTCTCTGTATCCCTGCAGGCATTCATGGAGGATGTCAAGTCCCGTGGGCCGTTTATCTACTCTGTCTTGGAGTCTGCCCAGGCATTTCTGGCTCAGCACCCCTTCCAGGAGCCCGAGGAGACCCTGACCGATGGAAAAGGTCTGCTCCCTCCATCGGCTGTGCCAACTGCTGCTCCAGCCAAAATGTCATACTCGTACACCCCCTCAGTTGAGTTCCTTTGGTAGGACCCATGCAGGTGAAGCGTTCCATTAGTAGTTATTAGCAGTGATCCGTCCTCTCGTGTCACACTGAGTTTAGGGAAAATGTGTGGGTCAGGACCAATTAGCTCTAGTTCACCACCTCTAAAGTACCATCTGCTCAGATCAATAATACAGCATGCTCCTCTGGTTCTCCACGGTCACATCCTCTTTGTAGTGTTTGGCTCTCACCTCTGGCTGCTCATTGAGGGAATACTCTAGCAATCAACCTTACTGTGTTCCCCAACACGAGCTGCCCCCTGCCTTTCTCTTTCCCCGTTTCTATTCATCGAGTTGATATGCCATCCTTCTTAAATCATTACTCTTCTCTTGGCTGACTTCTAACCCCCCGTTCTTCTCTTCACCCTGTTATTTCTCCGTGTGCTCCCGTTTATTACTTCTTCTTTTGCACCTTTATGCTGTTACCTCCGCATGACCCCATCAAACCTCTTCCATCTTCCACAGAGGTGTCTCCACGCCGGCGGATCTTGAATGTGAGCCGCTCTGTGTGGAAGCAGGCGAACGTAGCCAGTGACCTGTGGGAGAAACTGACAGCACGTTGTGTGGACCGCCACAGGTCAGACTCTTTTATTTGTAATATATATATAAAATATCTTGTTCTGATAAAGGGTGGTTTCTGAACTGGTGAAAAGTAACCATACTCGGATTGTTTACTATAATTTATCAGGATTATTTAATTGCGAATTTGAAATACTTGTGCTATTTTCACTGGATGGATTCACCTTCTGCTTCCACCAAAATCCAGGGTAAAATTTACTTTACTGCATTTATCTGACAGCTTGTCGTATTTCAGATATCTAGGAGTTGCTAGAAAATTTACCAAAGATACATTTAGTCTCTGAACTTAGTTCTGTTTAAATAATTGATTAAGCCCCCCAAGAGATTAAAGAAAGATTAGAGGAATTCAAGATAGCGTAGTAGAACTGTTTTCTGTGGGGTTTTTTGGCTTAATCCTTACCCGATACAGTAGTAAAATTCAATCAATATAATGTTGCTCACACTGGCCAGTTTTTAGTAGGATGGGCACATTTTGCTGATAATTCATATATACTTCTACTCAAGTACGCTGTAGATTTACTGGGTTATTATCCGTCCCTTCATTTGTTCCACCACTGGGACTCTGTACTCTTTGTCTTAATTTTTAATCAAGTTGAGTACAAGGAAAATTATTTTAGATCTTTCTTCAGAATATAAGTATTTGTGTCCTCTGCAGGCTTTGCCAATATAATTTTAGTAATTAGTGTTTTTAAATTAAACTAGTAATGATAAAACATCAGTGAATAAAACATTCTCTGTGCCTGTGAAACTATTGGACAACTTGCTATTCATTACTTTTATTTTGCTCGCTTATGATTAAATATAAATGAGAGGTGTGGCACATGTGATTATTCTTTTTGCTTTTGTGAGTCCGCGCAGTATGCTCTGTAGTCTATGTATAATGAACAAGACAGATAACGAGAGAGATAATGGAATGGAGTTAATGGAAAAAGGAAAAAGAAATGCATATTTGTCATAATTATATTACAGTTTCTCAGAATTACTTAAGCAGATTGGTTGAAACCATTTCCTGTTTTTCAAATAATCACAAAAAAACAATTTTCAAACTACAGTCACAAAACCTCCGACACTTCTGGGAACACCAAACATCAAATAATAAAATTGTTTTATTAAAAAAACAAAGCAAAACAAAAAAAACAAAAGAGATAAAAGAGAAGTAGATATCATGTAGTGCAAGTATTACCACAGAAAACTACTAAGGCAGTCGATCTTCAGGTAGAGTGATTTGTTACGTTTATTTTTCAAGCAAATTGGCATAAACTTAATCAGGGTCCACAGACCATATCCAGCAAGTGTTCTTGGCTTTTGTTTTTTGTCATCATAGCCATGTGGCAATCACTTTCTTTTTAAAATAATTTAATCGATGCTGAAAACCATCGTCTGTAAAAACAGCATGGAACATTCATTACAATACAATGTTCAGGGGATACTGTGCAATCTGCAAACATAAAATCTACATGTAATATACAGCAAATATTTGAGATTGTGATAGTTGAAGATTGTTAGTACACTTCAGCTGAACCGGCTCTTTAACTGCTCATTAATGCAATTAACTGAGTGTGTTTGGACATGGTCAAGATAACCTTCAGAAATTTAATTTAAGCATCAGAGGAAATGGGGAAGAGAGGTGATTTAAGTGATCTGGCACCAGATCTGGTGGTCTTAGTATTTTAGAAACTGCTGATCTATTGTGATTTTTTCCACACAACCATCTCTAGTGTTTACAAAGAATCATTAGAAAAAGAGAAGTTGTTTTGTTGATAGCAGAGGTCAGAAGAGAATGGACAGACTGGCTTAAATTGAGTGGAAGGCATTAATAACTCAAATAAGCATTTGTTACAACCAAGCTGTGCAGAAAATTTCCGTACTGTAAACGTCTTCTGATGTTAAACGTAGCACGTTACACCCAGTGCTGGTAACTAATGAACTGGCCTGTGAGTATATAATTGCATGGAGTTATAAATATGAAATATAAACATGAAAAAGGAAAAATAAATTTTTCAAGACAGTTTTTTCACATTTTTCTTCCTTTCATCTTCGATGATTTCTACCCATTCTTGGTGTCAATTTACTCAGCTATTGGTTAAATTAGATCATTTCTGAATTTCTGAATCATGTTTAAGAAATTAAATCTGTCTTGTATTTGTGGTTAACCTTTGTTGGCTCTGACTCCCATTAAAGATTAAAGTTTTAGAAAATTACTGTGTTTAGAAATTTAGCAATAAGAGAAAATGAGCTCTACAAATTAAGTTGAAGTAGGTAAAAAATGAAATGGAAAAGGTTCAAAGAGCAATTAGATTGGTAAATGGACTGATTCTTATATAGCGCTTTTCTACTCTCACGGAGTACTCAAAGCGCTCTATACAACATGCCTCATTCACCCAATCACACCCATTCTCACAGGCACTTTATCTACACTTAGTGCTTTCTAACGACATTCATACACATTCATACTCCGATGGATACATCGGAGAGCAAGTTGGGGTTAGTATCTTGCCCAAGGATACTTGACTGGAGGAGCCAGGGATCGAACCTGGCTCCTCCAGTCGATCCCTGGTTCGAGCCACCGACCTTCTGATCAGTAGGTGATCTGCTCTACCTCCTGAGCTACAGCCACTGTATTCGTTTCAAAGAATGAGATTGTGGTGTATATTTATAATAAAACTTTTTTATTTTATCAAAAAATAAGATCATACATCCATACAAGAGAACAATGCCTGTGTGTGTGTGTTTTATGGTTTTAAAGCCAAGAGTTGTTTCTTCCCATGACTGTGTGTGTGTGTGTGTGTGTGTGCCTCCACAGCAGGTTTATGTAGCAATATATTTCATGTAATACAATTACCATAACCTGATTACAGAACGTGGCAGCCATAATCCATTACAGAAACAATTATGAAAACACATTTATCAAGGTTTGAAGTCATGAAAATTCAGAGCTCACTTTTCTCTATATCGAAACTTGTTTTTGCACAAAAGCCGTTTAGAACTGATGGAATGAAATATATATTTATATACACTGCCTTATTGAAATGACAGCCTGTAAATTTGGATAAATGGGTTGTTTCACTGCACGCTCCATGGATTTTGATTGATTTATTTCCTCACACTGATTCCAGATTTTAATTGATCGGGTAGTTAACTTTAAAAAGTTGCATTTTCTACAAAACCTCCAGACACATGGAAAGGACTTTGGAGCGTCTTCTTCAGATCCAGGCTGCAATGGAAGAGCTTGCAGGGGCCTTGGAGCAGGCAGAGGGGGTGAGGGACGCCTGGGAGCCTGTTGGAGACCTCTTCATTGACTCTCTACAGGACCACATAGATGCTACCAAGGTACCGATGTGCAGTACACTCTCGGCTCTATTTTTCCTCTTATCTCTCCCTCACTAATCTAAATTGGGTTTACCTGTAGAGTAAACTAATTGTCTCCTTTGAGATTATCGCCTCTGGCTATCTCTGAAAAAGCACACATTGCAACATGTCTCAAACAAACATCAAAAAAATGACAATTCTAAAAACCAAAATTATGCGATCCTCCTGCATAAACAGGTGATCTGTTTCAAGCTGCGTTCCTTTAAAGTGATTGTTTTTTGTTGCCTGCATGCACATTCCTGCCAGAAAGGCTGTAATCTGACAGATGATGACAAGGCCCTTCAAAATGACACTGCGATGTGGTTTGGGTTACAAATTTCAGCTGAATAGATGTTGTTAAACAAATGACAGGTCATTGGTTCTGTTGCCGCTGCCTGCAATTGTGCGGCGCTATTCATTAGAAGCGAGGGCACTTCACAATAATCATGTCACTGTTTGGACTGCTGTCACAGGCAGCACATGTTCAGCTCAGTCTTTAGGGCAGACTTGTCAGTTGGCGTCATCTGTACTCCTTTACTCCCTTGTGCTTACACATGGGTGCATGCACATACAAAAACAGACACATGGATGCACACAGGATGCAATTATAAAAGTACACTAGACACTTTTGCATTCGAATGTAGAGTAGATCTGCAGCATCTACTCTACATTCCACCCATCCTAAAGTTACATTTTTATAAGTCTTGTTTCATCTGATCAACACAAAAAATCAAATATAACTTTTATATTATATACAGACTAACTGGAAAAAAAAGATTTTAATAACTCTTCTTGCATGATAAAGAAATACTTACATAATTTGTAAAAGTAAAAATAAAATATCAGATTTTATTTATGTATTTATTTATTTTTACTGTTTTTCATATTTTAGCATAGATTCCAATGATTTTTATTAACTCTTCATTTTTGCTGGGGTAGCATATTTTGAGAGGTTCAGGGATTAATTTTCTGACATCAAAAGAAGCGATTGAGCGTATTCTGCATGAGAAATGATTGGTCAACAAAATAAAAACACTTGTGAGCAGATTGCCCATAGTTTTCATGGAAGGTCTGCAAATGTGGAGAAACTGTGAGGGTGAAAAAAAATTGAAAATGAACCATTTCCCTTCAAAGTAAAAGTTTAACTTACAGCTGCAATCACCATGTTTCACTGTGAAAAGTGACGAGCGCTTGTAGACAAGTAGTTGTACTTCAGAGAGGCAAAGAACACGCGGATAGTGGTGAAAATGATGTTTCAGTTATTGATCTTCAGCATTAGCTAATTTTCACAGGATTAGTGTTCATCATTATTGTTACTGTAGCAGAATGATTCCCTTTGACTGAATACATTCATCCCACTGAAATATGATAAATTAATTATTTTATTGCAGTTGGGGAAAAAAATAAATGAAGCAAACGTGAACTATGAAAATGCCTGGACTATTTTGTTTATATAGCACTTTGAAAACAACAGAAGTTGACCCAAAGTACCTTATTGCCAAGTGTATTTCCACTCCAGATCTACACAAAACAGTGTTTCAAAACACGTGAAAAAGTGTGAAATTTGTGCTTTATTGTTTTAACTAATTAACGGTGGAAAGCATGAAAATGTATTGGGATTTAGAAAAGTAAGGGTGCTTTCATTTCATATGCTCTGCTCTCGCCTATGTAAGCTACCTTTAGGATAGTGGCTTTGTATCTACTTGGTATCATATCAATACCAGATGTTGAACTATTGCGCAGTACTACGAGCAACCATTCAGATGGTACCAGTCACTTCTGACTGGCCTAAAACAGGAAAACTTTATACAGTTTTGTTCTTTTTATTTTGTTTGCCTTTGATTCATTTCCACATTTAAACAGAGTTTAGGTTAAATTTGGGATTGTGAAGCTTCTAAAAAATCTAAAGCAAAAGTTTTCACACAAAATCATGAATACCAAAGGCATACGACCAACAATGCAAAATGCATGGGACACTGGCATGCATAAACTCACATTCCATCTTAGTTATTTTACAAATTTTCTGGTTTTCCCAGTTTACACACTATAAAAAGGGGCTGGGGCAGCTTCAGTTTCACTACTGTACGTTCTCTCCTCTGATCTTAAGACATTAAAACATGGCTTTCTGCCAAATTCTTTCTAAAACAGACCAGAAAGCTATAATGGATCAAGTTCCCATTGATTTTTTTTAATTTAATTTAAATGTAGTTGGTCCAGACTGGATGTTTCTGGATTGCGCTATAATTCCATCTGATGTTGTTCAATATTTTGTATTTAATCTGTTTCCCCCCTCTCTTTTCCCACTACTCCTTTTTACGTCCAACTCCCTGTGGTCCTCTGTTTTTCTTGTCCTCGCTCATGCTCCATCCAGTTATTTAAGGAGGAACTGACCCAGGTGAAAGAGGGCATGAAGCACATCAATGATCTAGCCCACCAGCTGGCAATCTCTGACGTCCATTTATCGATGGAGAACGCCCGTGCTCTGGAGCATCTCAACAGCAGATGGAAAGTGCTTCAGGTAGAGTTCTCTACTGGGTCCATAGTGCCCGTTTGACTCTGTCAGCAGCAGATTGTGCAGCAGTCACATTCAAGAGGGCATAAGAGAGTGATTCTGTGTGCAATGCTTGGACTTTTAATGGTGTCTATACTTCTGGCTTCCAACTGTTTTATGTTTTACACGTCTTTTGAGCACAGCGGTGTGCTTTTGGACATTGATGAGGGGCCTTGTGCATGATGAAGAGTTTTTATACCATGTAAGAGGAAGATCAGAGTATGTTTGCAGGCTGAAAGATCAATGATGTATCTCTCACTTAACTCACAGAACGGTTGAAGCTACTGGATAAATACTGGAGAAATATAGCTATTTGATTAGTTAAAAAATCCACAGCCAGAGTACAGTGTCATTATACATTACTGTTTGTGTATGAGTCTCATAGAAAAGTTGCCTTAAAATGATTAAGCTGGTTGGATGTGTTGGTAAGTGTATTTTGAGCTTTAGAGGCAGTCTATTTAGCTATTTTCACCGTCTGTATACAAAGTTATGGCTTATTGCTTATAAAGCTCAGGGAAAATAAAACATTCTTAAGGTCAAAATGTAGAATATTTATAGAATGTGTTAAATGAAACTAAGTTGCACTTAAAGTTTTAATTTCTTCACTGTTATTTTTGCAGTCACGTTGGTTTTTGTTTTTTCTTTTCCCACAGAATAAAAATCAGTTTCAAAACTCGTACTAATAGTATATAAACTTGGCTGAGTGAATGTTGGATTTGCATTGGGAACATGTAAATGTATCAAATCCCAGCAGCCTTGACATACTAATCACAATATTAACCTGCTTTATGAACATCTGTTGTTTTTCCAAAGGCATTTCATTCCTGTGATGAGCTCGTTTTTTCTTTGTTCCCCTCTCTTTCTCTTTTTAAGGGAGCTCAAACTAAGGAAATGAGCAGAAATTTAGATACATTTGTTATTAAATATGTTTAATGGTCACAATTATTTAGAGTCATTCCTAACCTTCATAAGCTTAAGAGCCCCAAAGCATTACAATTGAAGACATAACAATAGGAAAAAAGTAATGAGTGCCTCCTACTCACTTGGAGGAGGTTAAAAAACCTAAGAAGCTTTAAAACCTTACTTCATAAAACATGTATTGTTTCTTTTATTTTTAGTGTGCAATTTTTTCATTAACAGTGACTTTGTGTGAAATCAATCATAAAACAAGAAGAAAAAAAAGTAAAACAACACTCCTGCTGTAAAATACTGACTAATTTGTGGAGTTGTTTCTCCTCTCTGTTTCCTGTTTTATATATTATTCCCTTCTTGTTGAAATACAGCCTTTTTTTTAATCACAGGTTTCATATCTTGTATTTTTTTATATTAATTATATAGCAGCCAGGTGTTGCTAATCAAAAGCACATGATTAGCAGCACTTCATGAAATGTGACCACCTCTATAACAGCAGAGGCTTCGACAGTTTCCTGGTCTGTAGCGCTCCTGTGCGTATTAACTAAATGCCAGAGGTGGGCATCCCAGCACTACCAGTCCAAGCTCAGTACCTGGGCACCTTGCAAGTACTGAGTTGCATATGACCTCCTCTGTATAGCCAAGGATTCTTGAGTCAAATGTGTCAAAATCATGTCATGCAGCAGGACAATGTTCCCAAGAACAGCAGCAAATTTGCATTACCTTGATTTTTAATCATTTGCATCCATTCTTTTGCATAAGCCCAGTCAAAGTACAGACCTCGACCTGATTGAGATGCTGTGCTTAAAGGAGTTGTGCACAAACAAATACCTGCAAACTTGAATGAACCGAAACGACATTATAAGAAAGAATGTAAAACAATATGGAACATTTCTGTATATAAATTATATATTTTACTAGACTTTTGTCCTCACATGATCGCAAATATTTGCCGCGATTTTCACATTTAGAGAATCTATATTTATTCGCTCTAATGCTCCATTTCACTCTAGCTGTCTGTCAGTGGTGTCACAGCCTTTACCCAAGCCAACCGTCAAGCTAATGTGTACTAATGGTATTCTATATTGTTATAACAATATTCTGCATGGTTATAGTTATTTTAGTGCCATTGTGGTAGAATGGATTCATAGCATAAATCTGCAGAATATTATGTGATAAGATCACGTCAGTGTAGGGCACAATTGGTAAGAAATGTAGCAGCAACAGAGTGTGTCTTGACTGCATACAGCAGCTTTATCCATCTGGTGGTGTTTCTAATAGGAAAAGTGTGCAGTGAGTGTACATCAGTGCACCAATGAGATGAACATATATTTAAACCCATGCACTTAAATGAAGAGGGTAATTCATCAGTGCCATGAAAGCACTTACTCTTAACCCCCTTTAAAAAATTGAACTGAACTTGGCTTCCTCTCAGTGCTGAGCAGAATGCTTAGTTGATGCATTATCTACCGTGCATTACTTTAACTGCAGTGTTTTTCAAGCACAGGCTTTACCCACCATCAGTAACCTAGTAACACTCCTGCAAGCACAACAAAACCCTCTCAGCCTTCACTGCATCTCTTGTGAGAACATCCCCTTCCCATTAGATAACTGTCATGACACCTTTTCCACACCCTGACATGATGATTGCCACTCCAGCCTTGTTTCCTCATGAGGTGTCTCCACTCTGAGCATGATGATTTTCAGTGTCTGTTAAACTATTCCTAGAAGTTAATTCCTAGTATTCCTTTGCACGCTCGCTGTGACTTGTCTTAGTGTGACTTTCAGATTGCGTCCGTGGCTCCGAGCACTTCATGGACAGAACAAAACAGAACAGAACAGACCACTATAGAGAAGCCGTGCCTTTGATTTGTCAGCAAGAGATTTTTTTTTTCCAGGCTCTGTGGGACTGAAAGAAAAAAATAATAATGCAGCCCTGTAAGAATCATGTGTCAGTGCTTTCTAAAGATTTTCTCAATAACTAGCCGGAAAACTTGTAGGTAGATGCTCTATAGCAATAGTTGTCTGTCAGTTAGTCCACCCACCATGTTGGTACAGAAATAAGTTCCATGAGTTTTTTCCCTTTTATTGTACAGTAATATAGGGTGAATATGATTTTTCTGAATGATTGTGTTGTTTCCTTAACCCTTTCCCTCTCATGCACCTTAATGTAGCATTTCCACAACTACTCAATGGTTTTCCACTTGTTTAAGTGATGCTTACAATACTATAGACTGTCACTGAAATGCTTTCAAGCAACCCCCTATTCTAATTCTAAGCATGCAATCCTAAATATGGTTAAATTTTAAATGTGTTATCAGTGAACAATGAGACTCAGAACCAAACAGATTAGGTGGGTAGATGACGCAACAAAGCTTCAAAAATAGCTCTCCGGAAAAATGTGAACTTGTTTGCAGACATGTTTTAATGTAGAGAATACACTCCCTAGAATCATGTGTGGGTGTAAGACAAAGCTTGTACTTTGTTATCGGGTACCATGCCATTGTGGTATGTCTTTTTAGTGGTGAACTAATTAAGCTCACTGGCCTTTGCTTGCAAACCAGTAAGATACTCCCACAGAGTCTTTCTTTCTATACATTAGAACACCACTTCTGCTGTAGATGTATTTTTCTTTAATAAGAGATAATGAGAGAAATTTAGATGATTGTTTAAAACATTCACACGTGCTGAAAACCCCAGTTATCCATTGTCACAGCTAGCATTACCCTAGTGACAGGAATAAAACAAGAGGCTAAAGGGAGAGATGAGGTCCACACAAAGCAACATTTTTCACCCTCAATAAACATGCAAAAAAACATGCTGAAAGCGCGAACTCTGACAGGTGGCATTAGATTGCAGCAGTGCCCAGTAGTGTTAACTAACAACCATTTACAGACTGTCGATGGTTTACCCTCCAGCCGTGCTATTCAGATTGGGTTGCCTAATCTACAAAAGCAATTAAATATTCATATTATACTGCTTTATGCCGCATCACTGCAAATGCTTTACCAGTCTGCTTGACAATTACCCACATCAGTCTACCCCTACTCATAAACACCATCCCTAGATACCAGAACTCTTCCACAAAATCCCTCCCTTTCCCACTCAGAGGTGCTAATTCTCATCACTCATCACCAATCACTTTCCACGTGGCTCCAAAGTGTCCCACTACAAGTGGGAGGTTATGGCTTGATGAAGCTGACAGGAACCACAACATGTACAAAAATTAAAGATGGTGTGAGATCACTGGGAATCTTCAAATCCTGCTCAGACCCAAAGAGAAAGTCGTCATAACCAGGATTAATTTGATTTGATTGATTTGATTTGATTGAATCTTTATTTTGAACATGTTGAAAAAGTGCAACAACATAGAATTAAAAGAGACAAATGAACAAAGCAAAACAAAAGGAAAACGAGCAACCACAACTACAAATAACTTTCATGTTCAAAAAGGAGCAGGAAGAAGCATAAGCTTATTTAATCCCACCCCTTTCCCACTATCTAGTAATCAATAGACTACAGAAATACCTCCTTGCCATTACTTTATATGTCATGTGTATTTTTTTTATTATTATTATTCAAAGATCAGCAGTTTAATTAATTGCTTACACTGAGATTTTACAGTTAAAAAAAACTTTTCCCCCCCCTACTGGCACAGCCAAACCTAACAAGCTCACTCCAGAATCAACCATCAATAATCATACCTAAGTGTATGTAGCCATTTCTTAAACATTACGGTGTTCAAAAATGACCAAAAAGTACAAAATCAAATGCAAATCTACAATGTGTTTCCTCTCTACTCATTTAAGAAGTATTGTTGCATTCTTATATTAGATTCTTACATTACATTGCATTCTTATTCAATTTGGTATATGAAGAAAGAGCAGGGTTTGGCTCATCTTGCTCCTAATTTATGTCCATAAATTGTAAAAGGAGTCTCCATGCAAAAGTTCTTTCACAGCAACTATTTCTGCTACGTATATCTTTGAAGCAGCTATGTGCCGCACAGTTCGTGTGCCCTCCGGTCTTTGATTTAGGTGGTAAATGAAGGTAGATGAAAGCTTATCTGATGTACAGGGTGGTAAACAGATTTTGAGTATCCATAGACACCAGCAGATATTCATCTCCCAGATTTTAGATTTCCTTCAGATTCTCTGTGAGTGTAGGGCCCAAGCAGCATTTGCATTTGAAGAGATAGATGTTAAAAATGAGAGAAAATCATTTCAGTCTTGTTTGAGCTGCCTAGCTTGTACTTTAGTTGATCTGCTGTCTTTCTGCATTCACAGTATTAAAATAAGGGAGTTGAGATGCACAGGTGTGGTATCTTGGTGAGGACTAACAATCCTGCAGGGTCTTTAGCGAACAATATAAAGTACTTATTCATGTGATTTGATACGTTAAAAATAAAAACTGAATTCAATTCAATTAATTTGAAATGAATGGAGAAACCTCCTCCTTTGTCTCGCTCTCTGGTGTCACGTTTTGCTGTCTTAATTAAAATGATAAATTTTAAATCCCAGCAACATCCTGTACCCTGTTTATTTTGGCTGGACTGACGCTAGCAAAATTTGATTTGCTAATATTTGTCGATCATGGATAATTTAGTCATTTGTCTTCCTTATGGCAACCCAAATTGCCTGTACAGCAAATAGATTTTACAACACAGAACAGTTGGCAGTTGTATCTCCTCGGCACACTGACAGTGCTCTATATTAGTCCCAACCAATTTAAAGTCACACAGGGGAGCAATGATATGTGTACATATCATAATATATATCTATCTTTACAAATTATATCCCACTGCAGGTGCATCTTTTTGGAGTCTAACGGTCTCCCACTCGTTTCTTTTTCTCAATTTATCTGTCTGCCTCACACAGGGTGGATTTACCTCCCATTGTTTGAGGATGCGTTTCAACATCCAGCTGACAACGATTCAAGTGCCAAATCCAATATATTTCAAATAAACCAGGATTAGGCAGACTAAATCCCATTTGGTGGGAAACATAACTGATGAAATGTTTTTACAAAGGCAGTGGCAAACTTAATTTTGTCAACTCCACGGTCTCCGTGATTATTTACCCAGCACGTGAGCTCTTGCACCCGTCTATCTCTCTCACTCATGTCATCCTCTTTCCCCCCCAGCTGCACTGACACTGCGTCCAGAAGCTGCTGCTCTCGTTTCAACAAAACATATTATTTTCTAATATCAGTCTTCATTTCCTACCTCGTGCTCTTCAAAGGCTCTCAAAGTCCTTCAAGAGGAGCAGCAGATAAAAAAAGACATAATTTATATGCAGCAGTTAACTAATGGAGGAGAAGCAGGTGGTCTGTGTGTGTGCGTTTCTATTGTGGGGATTTTGTGGTGCAGGGACGAACAGCACGGTTCCCTTTGATTTGACTTTGCATGTGTGTGTTTGCGTGTGTCCTCAGGGCTCCATAGAGGAGCGGCTGAAGCAGCTCCAGGATGCACATAGAGACTTTGGCCCCGGATCGCAGCACTTCCTTTCCAGTAAGAGCCATTTTCTGCTATTTGAAGTTGGTGCTTCATGTTGCACCATTCTGTGCCGAGGCAGGCGAAAAGAAGCCTAGGTGTATTACAGTTTAATGGTGCTAAGACTGTTAATTGCTGTGTTTGTGTGTGTGTGTGTGCCCGCACTGGGCTGTGTGTGCATTTGGGTTAGAGGTGGAGCTGGGAGGCTTTTGTGCATCTGTCTTTATCATCTCTAGCACGCTGCTGTGACGAGCACTCCCGGTGAAGCTCATCACAAGAGTCATTGCTCTCGTTTGAGCAGAGAGACATATTTGTGAATTCTGTCTTTTCTTTTACCTACTGCTCTTCAAAGACTACAAAGGAGTAGCGGGAAGGCGGGGGTGGGGGTGGGGCTGTAGGGGGCTGAAAAATTGGATTTACCTTGCCTAGTTTAAACTGATGAAGTGAAAAGGCTGAATGATGCAGGGATCTCTCTGTGCAAGTGCATCTGAAGTGTTGGCGTGTACTTGTGTGTCTCCAGTGTCCTCACCAACCCCATCCAGATTTACTGCTGTCACGCTGGATCAGAGATGCCACACTGGGGCTTATATAGCACTACTTCACTGCCAGCTCAGCCCACTATGCCCTGCAGAGATGTCTGGGTTTATGTCTGTGTGGTTTTATGCACCAACATGCCTGTATTTCAGCTTGTTTCATATTCCATATAGGACATGGATATGCATATATATGCACACAATTTGACACAAAACTGTTAAGTATTAAGAATATTCAAAATAATTTACTTTGTGATTCTGAAGAAAAAAGCTGTATTGTATCTAGTAGAGTCACTTAATATGTTTTAGTTGCTAGCAGTACGACCCAATTTCTGAAGTGGTGTGATACACAAATAAGTGAAAGCAGATATTTGAAAAAATAGGTTTGGCAGATAATGATGTAATATTTACACTTATGTCAAGACGAGTATATTTAGTCTTCGTAGTATGATTAGGCCCTATAGGGGAATATTTATAGTCTGATATTAGTACTTTTACTCCAGCTGTGGTGTGTATCTGTGTGTACTGTGATCAGCTCACACATTAAAACCACCTGCCTGGTGTAGTTCCCCCCTGTGCTGCCAAAAACGGCTCTGACGCACTGAGGCGTGGACTCAATCCTGAGATGTGTCTGGCATGGAGACGTTGGCAGTGAGTCCTTTGGGTCTTTTAAGGTGCAGGTGCTGCCTCCGGCCTGTTCTAGCGGTTACAATGTGATCTGGGAAGCTTTGAGACGGAAGCCGTTCCAAACGTTTTGCAGGTTGTTAGGAGCACTGCTACTGTGCTGTTGCTTTGGAAGGGTTGTTAGGGTGAGTGGTGGATGTCCAACTAACTACCAAGATGATAAATTGTTGACTTCACCTATGTGCTAGTGCTTTTAATGTGATTTTAATGTTTGGTGTGTTTTATAGATACAGAGCACACCGGTCTGCGTTGTCCCATGTCATTAAACAGTAATGGGCAGTGACATGGAGTGTCATTTGGTATTGTCTTTGTACCCTCTTTGATTCTTTGCTGAACCTCCTGTGGTTCAGTTTGGGGGGGACCGTTAAATGCTACAGTCATCCCGTGTCACCGTCTTCTCTACCTCCAGTATTCTATTACGCCGTGCCAAACAAACCAATGCTCTGTGGAAATCCCACACAATAGACTTGTCTCTTTGGCTGTACTGTGCCTGTTTAGCTCTGTTAAGAAGGCCTGAATGGATATGGTGTCTGGACATGCTGACAGGGACACTGTGCACAATGGCTGTTCATGCATGACATCCCTATTTCAGAATTGATTTTGTCTCTCTGTATTTGCACAGGTTCGGTGCAGATACCGTGGGAGCGTGCTATCTCCCCAAACAAAGTGCCCTACTACATCAAGTAAGTGCAACTTCACGGTCAGTGTCTGCGTCGTCGGAGCAAATGTACTTTTTCCACGGCAGATTAAGTCGTTAGATCAAAATTGGGCTCATTTGCTGTTTTTCAAAGCTGGTAGACATGTTGCATTTTTACCTGTGGTGCAGTATTTTAACGTCTGGTCTTATAGGTACGGCCAAATGTTCTGTGCTCACTTTTTATAGAGCACTAATCACAGAAGCCTTAGTCAGTGCTGTCTATTTATTTATTTATTTATTAACCAGGAAGATCCCATTGAGATTAAAAACCTCTTTTTCAAGGGAGACCTGGCCAAGATAGGCAGCAGCAGATGTCTCACAGTTACAGAAATTACTCAGACACATGCAACAATAAGTGAAAGAATACAAATAAAATAAAATTCAATACAATTCAAATAAAAATAAAAAAGTCAGTTAAAATGACAATCAATCTAATTAAAACAGTTGCATGTTATGGACTTGGCCTCAAGGATTCGTAGTTTAGATTTAAAAGCACTTAATGAAATGAATTCAGTCATTTTCCTTCTGCAGTTTGTTCCAAGCCGAGGGTGCTAAATGGACAAAAGCTCTTTTACCAAGTTCAGTTCGGGCAAATGGAACAGAAAGCAACAAGTAACCATGCGGACAAAGAGAATACCGACCAGCATGTTTCATTACAAGCAGGGAACATAGATAAGAAGGCAGCAACCCAAGTATCGCCTTATATATAAAACTGTATAAATGAGAGTTCCTCCGACTTACCAAAGCAGGTCCTACCTGAGAGTATAACTCACAGTGGTGAGTCTGAAATTTACGGTTAGTGATGAACCTCAGAGAAGCACGATACACAGAATCAACCATTCGAAGACATTGAGCAGAAGCATTCATATATAGAATATCATATTTACAATGCTAGAGGAGTTTATTAAAGCAGGATGGATGCATCGTCAGACAAAAACAAAGGCTTTGCAATTCTATTGACAACAGAAAGTTAGAAAGAAAACATATGGAGACACTTGCAGATCAAATGTCATTCACTATTATGTAGAGACAAGGCGTTGAATATATCTCTAACAATGGCAGAACGTGCTTTTTGCACTTTCTGGTGATAATCTCTTAAGAACAGCTGATCAAAAACTCTTACATGGCAGGAATACAAAGGTTTCCACACTGATCCCTCAGTCCATACGCAGGGACTGGGAATCGCCCAAACTGCATCTCAAACTACAACTAATCTGGTAGAAAATAATTGTAGCATTAAGTTATTTCACATTTGGTGTCTTGAAGTAAACTGTTTCTATATAAAGCCCTGTTACTGGATGTTCTTTGCTTTGTATCTTCTTATTTTTTATAGTTGAGCTCTCACAGTGAGAGAAAGGACAGTTGAATATAGTCTGTTCAGATTTAGCAAACTAATAAAGTCTGTGGAACATGGAGTACCTGCATCATAGTTCAATGATTACACTGAATTTTCATACTGATTTTATTTCCATTATCGTGCCCATGTTCGATGTTTCCTTTAATGGAAGTTTTTTTGTTTTTGTTTTTTTTACAATGACTAATCAGTTGCATCTGCTCCAGCTACATCAGTGTCAGTCAACATGAAAGCTGCAATAGAAAATCACTTAATGCTTGTCATGTCAATCACATACTCAAGCTATGCCGATGTCCTCTTCACTTGTCACTATTTTTGTGGTAGAGAAATAAGCTGGGGTTAAAAAAGCCATCAGCCATACGCCCAGACCCAGGCCCCTTTGAATCACTGAAGGAAATAGAGAGATGTGGGCGGCATTAAGAGGTCTTAACTGCAAAAACCAACCAATGCCTAGACATTTCTTCCCTATAATAAACTCTTATAAAACACACTCCGACCATAGAGACAGAAGTCTTCCTCTTGAGAACGATTGTAGAGAGAGAAACTATTTTTTCTGCGCCAATTTGGGAAAATGTATCCATTGTACAAGCAAATCCATCACGTGGAGTATAATAAACCTTCATTAGATTAGAAACAAATGCTTCCCATTAGCCAAATATTTGTTAAAGACTGGATCAACTCTAAATGATTAAGATGAAAATCTGTTGTGCCACTGGGAGCCCTGTTTGCCCAAGAACCCATTTATCTGTTTACCTCATCAATACTGTTTATCTTTGGAGTGTTATAGATTTCATAATTGAACCGTGGATGTGTTTGTTTAGGAGTGTGTTCACACACTGTTGTGTATGTATTGCAAACATTGGCACAGTTTGTTCTCCTAAAAGTATTTGTCTTCTTAATCATTTGAAACAAAGCTTCATGGGTTTTGCTTTAGTTCACTAGTCAGTTCTTTATGGGCTACATTACTATTCCAGTGGGAGTGGAAGTAGCATCTGAGTAGCACTCCACTGGGTACCAATCAGCGAGTGCTCGCACAGGTAAAACGATGAGCGCTGCCCTAAAAGCCTCCTGGGTCCTGGGCTGCCAGGCTTCCTCATTTGGAGTTTCCCATTTATTTTCCTGCGCTTGTCCTTTCTATTGAATCTCTTTTATAGATGCTAAATTTTCTACATTTAAATGTTCCCGTCGAGCTAGTCTTGGGAGAGAAAAGTGTAAATGTATTTATGCAGATATGAGTTGGATTTTATATTGTTTTTCTGAGGAAAGTCTTAAAAGCTACTGTGATTAGGTCTCCGTGAGAGCTGTAGTGTAACAAAACTTTTGATGTCTGCTCTTTCCAATCCTACAATCTTTTGTCTCATCCTAAATAATGGTCACTGTATTCTGCCCTCTTTATCTCTTACTTATTACTCATTCATCTCACTCCTTTTGCTGTCTGCCACACCTGCCAGACTCTACCCCTTTGGCTCATTTGTACTCCATTTTTACCTCTCTGGCCTGAAAATGAGTACTTCGATTCTTTGCCTTCCTAATGAAATCTTCTTTCCATCAGCCATCAGGCCCAGACGACATGCTGGGACCATCCAAAGATGACAGAACTGTATCAAGCGTTGGGTGAGTAAGGAGACAATTAAAACACCCTCTTGCTCATTCGTCCAGGAACCCCACTGGGCTGCAGCAGAACCAGTAACGCCGCACCACCGGGCTTCAGCTTTGAAGGTCCTGTCACACAGCTCATTAAGGGCCCTTTATTTCAAACACCTTAGGGACTACATCGCTACTGTCATTAACCTGCGAGGCTCAATTTGCCAGCTCTGTGATTGCTTCTTGCTTAGCCTTTAATTAATTGTGATTAAACGACATCATGTATTTTACCATTAATCTGATGTGACACGGCGAGCTTGCAGGGGAGATAGGCCCGCTGTCAGATACACGTGTTCAGCTTAGAAAAAGGCATGCATGCACACAGACAGATAATAATATTATTACAGTAAACTACTAATGATTTCTGCAGTGGTGTGATAAACAGGCGGGGACAGATGATGTCTAATTTCTCAATGGTATAGCGGAGTCATGCAGGATGAGTTTGTTTTCTCTAATCTCTCTCTCCGTCTCTCCTTCTATTAGCGGATCTGAACAACATCAAATTCTCAGCATACAGAACAGCAATGAAGCTGCGGCGGGTTCAGAAGGCTCTGAGACGTACGTACAGTATTTCATCGACGCTATTTTCTGTCCGCTGCGCTGAAATGGCTGGTTAAGTGATATACAGTTATCCTGCACCATCACTAATCCACCGTGACAAGCTCTCTTCAGGAATGAGATCTAATGATTAGCTGCGGCACGTTTCTTTATTCGGTTGTCGAAAGCATCAGCGCTCTTTTGTACCCTACATAGAAATGTGCTTGAAAATATTCTTTGCATTTTCCTATACTGTCAGCTTTGAAATGCAGCAATTAAAAGTACTGAAAAACTCAAGAGCCACAAGAAGAACTACTCTACTGCCAGATTCCTTCCTCATTTTCATCACAACCTGAATCGTTAGCATTCTGGGTAATTAGCTATTAATTGGTCCATTTGAGTTACATAATAGGAGGCAATTAGTTTTTGCTGCATGGTTGAAGCTTGATTGTATGCCCCTTCAGGGTCAATACCTCCAACATAGCCTTTCTTTCTTGCTTTCTTTTTCTTCTTCCCTACATCTCATCCATTTCCAGCATTGGTGTAGTACTCGAACTCCTCTGACCACAGACCTTCTCGTATTTGGTATCACTAAAAGTGCCCAGTTTCACACCTATTCAGTTATTCATGTTCAGCCTGTTTTTCTACCTTCTCTACCTTCATTTACAACTCCCTTTCAACCTTCTTCCCCTTCTAGATCCCACGTTCCTGTAATAAGAACTCAGCATGCACAGAGCACTCTAAAAACCCCCTTTCAGTCACGTTCCCACTTCCTTTCTCTTGCCTGCTCTCTTATCTCTCACTCCTCCAGTCTACTAGTTGATATCGTTGCAGAACTTAATTGCCAGGCTGCACTGATAACTGCAGAATTCTCGCTCTTTTTTCTCTCTGCACACGTCTTGAATGATTGAGTAGTGCTGCATAAGAAATACATTTTAAGCTGATTCCTTCCCAACCTTTAAAATACTACTGTTATCTCACTCTGTTCTACCGCATTATCGTGCTATCCAATTATACCTGGCATCAACAGACACCCTTTTAACTCCACTCTTAGGGATGGGCCATCAAATTAGTTTAGAAGAGCGAAATCAAATTTGTGTCACTGCTCTTGAAACATCTGGTAGGGCTTAAGTGGGCAAAAAGGGTGAATAAGCACTGCTGTCAGCCATGCTCTCGTTCGCTGAGGTGTGGATGGTGATCGCGCTGTGACTGTATGTGTGTTTGAAAGTGAATGTGGGGTCATGTGTCGTTATATGTGGATGTTTAGGCTTTAGCTCATGTATGCATGCTTGTAAACATAACACGATATTGTGCCATATTTATGTCTCTAAATAAATATGTGTTCTTTTTAGTGGATTTAGTGGCACTGAGTAGCCTCGTGGAGATGTTCCGGGAGCAGGAGCTGCAGCAGGCAGATCATGTGATGGATGTGGTTGAGGTGATTCATGGTCTGACGGCTTTGTATGAGAAGCTGGAGGAAGAGAGGTCCGTCCTGGTTAACATTCCACTTTGTGTTGATATGTGTCTCAACTGGCTGCTCAACGTCTATGACAGGTGAGTAGGTTGAAAAAATCAAAAGTGAAATATATATTAAAACTTACTCGTGTTAAGAACTGCAGCAAGTATCTGTGTCTTTATTTCAGCTCCGCTCTTATAAACCAGTGGCTTATCAAGTAGACACAACCAGCAGACATACTTTGTAGTTGGACAAGTTTAAATCCAGCGTTAATCTGCCTTTAATGTTTTATCACCGATTTCTATTTCTCTGTTATATTTATACTGATTAATCTGAGTAAAGGGTTTTATAAGCAGTGTTGGTCAAGTTACTTGAAAAAAGTAATCAG